GAGTTTCTTCATCCAGGAGTCCCCTCTACCAATCAAATCACTTTTGACTCCTCTTCCTTCATTCCTTCCTTCTTGCCTCCCCTCTCCTGCTCTTTCATGTTCCTTGAGTGTTTTTTTTATTAGATATGACCTTGGACAAAGTAATGAAGTGATTGAATTTTGTATGTGGCAATAATCAGCCTCCTTCCCCTTTTGGATGGTCTCTGCACATTGGTCCCTGGACATTGCTCATGCAGGTCAGATCCCTACCCAGTAAGGAAGGTTTGAAACATATGGAATTGGAGCCAATTAGCAGAGTCCCAGGGAAAAGTCTGCCTGGGGAAAGAGGGTGGGGTGTCAAGCCTAATCCTGTAGTCCAGTCCACATCTAGATCCTGGAACATAAAACAGGAAGCCCAGAGGAATCAAGCCAGAATCAATGGATAATGGAATCCATGGACTGGGGAGGTGGGGGAGAGAAAGGAGGTAGTAGCAACAGTTGAAAGCTTATGAAATCAACATGTAGTCAGGAAGAAACTAGGAAGAAGAGGAGATATGACAGGGAGACTCTTTGCCTAAAGAGTGGCAGCATGTAGAAAGAGTGTTGGATTTTGGAGTCAGATGACCCAAGTTCAAATCTCAGTCCCTGCTACCTACTATCCATGGGGCCTTGGATAGCCTGTTAGGGCCTCAACTTCCTCATCTATAAAATGAAGGGGGTAGACAAGGTGGCCTGTGAGGTATTGTCTAGCTCTGAATGTGTGACAATATTCATATATGCACCCACATACCTATTTTGCTCAGCTGCATCCATGATCCCAGACAATGTTACTCAAACCAAAATACATATTTCACAGTAAGCTCATTTGCATTTTAGATTAAATGAAAATACCTTGTGTTTTTGGTTTTGGGGGTTTTTTTTTGCTTATGGATGAACATTAAATATACAATTAGCACAGAGTCAAATTATAGAGTTTGTTGTTCCTTCATGTCCACTCTTTGTGACCTCTTTTGGGGTTTTCTTGGCAAAGATCCTGGAGTGGTTTAGCCATTTCCTTATTCATTTCACAGATTTGAGCAGCAATTATAGAGTTTAGCAATTATGAAACAGGTGGTACAGTGGATAGAGCACCAGGCCTGGAGTCAGGAAGACTCATCTTCTTGAGTTCAAATCTGGCCTCAGACCCTTACTAGCTGTGTGACCCTGGGCAAGTCATTTAACCCTATTTGCCTCAGTTCCTAATCTGTAAAATGAGCTGGAGAAGGAAATGGCAAATCACTCCAGTGTCTCTGCCAAGAAAACCCCAAATGGGGTCACAAAGAGTTGGATTCAACTGAAAAACTGAAAATTATGAAACAGAGAGGAAACAATACATGTACTGTATTTGTTCCGTATACAACTGAAAATCTGAGATATTTAGGCAATGGTTGGTTGGAGAGCAAAATTATCAATGACCTTGTGGATGAATTTCCAAAGTTCATCACTTTCTATGTTTGCAAGGTTTAGGGAAGGAAGGAAGGAAGGAAGGAGAGAAGGAAAGAAGGAGAGACCCCAGCATTTATTAAATGCCTATTATGTGGCAGACACTGTGATAAATGCTTTACAAATGTAACAGGGATTTTCTGTACTTGCCCAGATCACCTAACATCAAGGCATCCTGTTTCTGGGAGAAGACATCCCGTGTTCCCCTACCAAATGAGTGAGAGTGGACTCGTGATTGGCTGTGTAGCTAGAGCAGGTTACAACTTAGAAAATTGCCAGACTGGAACACTCTCTTTCTAGCTGTGTCCAGAAAAGATGAAGGTACAAGGGTAACCATAGCATAGCACCATGACCTGTGCAGGTAAGGGGAAGGGACTATGTTCCTTAACCACTTTAACCTGTAGCCCCAAGAAACAGGTACCACTCTAGTTCTAACAGCTTAACACACACACAAAAAGAAAAAAACCAATATAATGCATAAATGACTCAAAAATGAGAAATTCTTAGCATATTAAAGTGATAAGGAAAACAATGAGGGATCATTTTTGAATGTTTATTCATAGAATAAACATTTGTTTTATCATTTATTCATCATTAGCCTAACAATGCCCTTTGTAAGTACAAAACATAGTGTCTTTGGAAAATTTAATAGATAGGACAGTAATATATTCCTTATTTAATAAACCATTTTTATCTGGTTGCTCCACAGACATTTACTATTATAGGGAACTGTTGTCAAGGAGGAATGGCTTACCAAATTAGGGAGAAATAAGGAGCAGGAATAAGGAAGTAGAAGGACTTCCTCCAGCAAGAGACAGTGACCCAATTAGGAAAGAAAACAATGAAATCAAAATGGCCTTAGAGAAAGAACTATGTCCTCATGTAAATGCTTTTTAAAGTTGTTTTGTTATAATAATCTCTATTCCTACTTGAGTATCTCATCATGGTATATAAGTAAGCTTGGGCTCTAAAAGGCTCTGATTTGTTATTGTTCAGTCATATCCAACTCCTCATGACCTCATTTAGGGTTTTCTTGGCAAAGATATTGGAGTGGTTGCCTGCAACTCATTTTACAGATAAGAAACTGAGACAAACAGGGTTAGGTGACTTGCCCAGGGTCACATAGATAGTAAGTGTCTGAGGTCTGATTTGAACTCAGGTAAATGAATCTTCCAATTTCAGGCCTGGTATTCCATCTACTGCATCATCTAGCTGTCCTAAAGGCTCTGATAGCTCAATAGCCCCCTGGCATGGCTATCAAGCAGGGAAGGCTGTTGAATATGGTTTCAGTAAGAGACCCTCATGCCACCAGGCAATGATATTTTTTGGTTCCAGCATTTTATGAAAACATCTGTAGTTTTATATCTTTTCACTGAAACTCTTCCAGTGCCCACTCTGCCCCAAATACTCATTATTTCTCCCTGCACCTATTGGCCTTGAATTCCTTCCTTGGATTCCAAATAATAACACCTAACACTATGCTCTGGACATCTAAGTGGTGTGGTAGATATAGTGCCAGATCTGGAATCAGTAAGACTCATCTTCATGAGTTAAAATTTGGCCTCTGATACTTAATAGCTGTGTGACCCTGGGCAAGTCACTTAATGCTGTTTTTCTCAATTAATCAACTGTAAAATGAGTTGGAGAAGGAAATGGCAAACCACTCCAGTACCTTTGCCTAGAAAACCCCAAATGGGGTCACAAAGAGTAGGACATGACTGAAAAATGACTGAACAACAACAAAAACACTATGCTCTATTAATTAAATGATTTTCAAAACTACAGAGGAATCCTGGTGTGTCTCTTGCCCTTTTCCCCAATGGTTCTAGCAGGGTGCCTCAATTTTTGTCTCATTTATCAGAATTCTATAAATTTCTTAGTTACACACAAAGCACGTCTCACTTTATGAGCCATTCCAACTCCTCCTTCCTCCCATAGGACCCCTCCCCCAAAACCCTGTCAGATTGTCATTATAAGCCAAACCTTCATAGATATTTTTAAGAACCTGGAAAGGAGTCATAGGACCTAGATCTAGAGCCGGAAGGGATCTCAGATGCCATCTAATCCAACCTGATCATTTTCCAGAGGACAAAACAGACCTAGGGAAGTTAAGTGACTTGCTCATTGTCCCACCAGGTATCAAGGGCAGGATTTGAACCCAAGCCCTCTGACTGCTCAGCCAATGCTCCTTCATTGTGTCCAAAGTTGAAGGTAACTACATGAATACAAGAACTGAGACCTTTTTCAATATTATACACCTGTGCAGCATAGAGTTAAGACGACTTTTCAGCATTGCTGAGGGTAGAGTGAGTACATAGGAAAATAATGCTGATACAACTTTGACAAACTGATCTAAAACTTTTGGGAAGATGGATCTCCTTTTGAGGGCATTCAGGTATGTTGAAAGTTGGGTTTCAGATATGTGCTTGTGGGGTTGGGGGAGAGGCTGATATGAATAGATCCATGAAGTGGGATAAAAGAAAGGAGATTAGATAGATAAATAGATAGATAGATAGATAGATAGATAGATAGATAGATAGATAGATGGATAGATATAGATATAGATAGATATATAGATATAGATATATAGATAGATATATAGATATATATACACACACATACATATACATATATATACATACATACATATATATATTTCACAGATATCCCCTTGTGGTTATCAACATCCTTCTATCTAAATATTAAAGACTATTCTGGATGCTTGTGTGAATTTGAGGTTTTAGTAGAGGGACTTTGCAATTCTGAGGCATTTGAAATTAGTTGATTTAAGCTGAATATGTGAATCAAGATAACCTAATAATATAGGAGAGGCATGTTGGGATAAGGAGAGGGAAAGGTAAAATATATTCATTCAACAAACACTTAGTATATACCTGCTATATACCTACTACATGTACCTACTATGTACAATGCACACATGCTGAGGAAGGCAATAGATAAATAGGAAATAATTTCTGGCCTAAAGGAGCTTAAAACTTAGTAGGGGAAGATAGGGAACATATAACCTGAGCATCTTTCTGAAGTTATGAAAACCATTCGGCCATCTACTAAAGGTAGATACATTTGAGTTATTTTGTTGTGGGGGGTCATTTTATGAGCAGACACAAGTAGGGTAAAACTATCAAGGAGGGCAAATGAGTAACTTCCGAAGGGCTAGTGAGTTTAATTTTTTGCTTTTTGTACCTTTGAGAGTGAGGGTGACATGGAGCATCAGAGGCATCCCATTCCTGAAAACACTCTTGGTGACCTGTCATTCCACTCAATTCAATTCAACAAGTATTTATTAAGCACCTGCTGTGTGCCAGATGCCATGCTAGTTGCTAGAGTTACAAAGACAAAAAAGAAAACAGTCCCTGCCCTCAGGGAGCTTACAATCTACTCTCCTCATGATCCAATTAGTCTGCCTTATGAGGATGGCAGAGTTCCACTGAGAGATGAAGGGGAGGGCTAGGGCATCAAATTCACATTGCAGTGTGATGACTGATGTCAGCAAAGCCATTCGAAGCAATGACAGTTAATAAATAAAGCAGAATATTTTTATTTTTAAATGAAAACAGATATAAAACATTTACATTTAATTAATTTACATTGAATAATAAAATTTCAAAGCATGGATTACTATGGGAGCATCAACCTAATAACATTTCATGGAGCTGTCAGGCCATTTCTGAGTGATTATTTTAAGCAGCATGTTTGTGGAAAGGGAGTGAGGAAGAGGCTTTGGAAGGACTTTCAGCTCATTAACTTTCCCTTCCTCTAGGGAAGCTGATCTGTCAGCTTTGGTTCAGAATGAGGCAAATGATTTTCACCTGATTTATTTCTATCTCATTGCCTGAACCTCTTGGTATTCCTTGTTGGGAAACATTTTTAGCTCTAGGAACACATCCAATTCAGATAACTACTGATTTGGCTTAAGACTTTTTCTTGCTCTAAGGTGTATTAAGTGACCTAATTTGACCTCTTGGGAGGCACACAGGTATCCCTTAAATTCAATGGTCCAAAACTCACTATTATGGAATTTACAAATTAGGCGATGAATTTCTTAATCTTGTAGGTTAACCATGAAAAATATACAATTTCCAGATCCTTTTGGTGTGGTGCCCAAAGAGCCTAGCCCATGGTCTAATTCAGAGGCTGTTAAAAATAGCACCTAGAGAAGCAGATGGCTCAATACCTTGTTATGTTAAAGAGGCTTTGAAAGAAAAAAAAAAAGAACAGATTTATTTTAACATCCCAAAGTGAACTGCTGGTGGGAACTACAATTTGCAGTGGACATATTGCCATTGGGATACTATAGTATCCATCATGCTCTGGGGTGGGAACCTATTTTAAATCCTTCCTTGAAAAAAGTTTTAACTCAGTTCATGGGAGGATTTTTATTTACCATAGGAACCCATTTCTGATTTTATAATATGTCAGTGAGGGAAAAGGATTCAGTATATAAAATTTTATTTTACACATGTTTTCCGCAAAATGCTACTTTTTTTTTTTTAGTGAATCAAGGGATACTAATATATTGTTAGTCTTTATATCAAGAGAACTACTTTTCATCACTTTTAAATATTCATTACAATGTGAATTCAGCATTTTCTATTAATCCTTAAATGAAAAGAACTCAGATCACAGGACTAGAAGTTGCCTGAAGCTAGAGCAAGTTATCCTAAGCGCTCTATAGTTAGGGGCCTTTTGCCTCCTTCTTAGATTCCTTGTCTTTTCTATAGGCTGCTATAAATACGTTTGATAGTCTCAGCTTCTTGTTCATCCAGGATGCCTTTCTCCACATAAATGTCAGCCTGCTGGTTGATGAAGTCCTTCATCTTTGAAAGATCATAATCTGGAAAATAAAATTAGTGGAAAGTGAGCAAAGCAAAACCCACTATAATGAATACCAGAACCATGTAGCTATTTCCAAGTGCAAGCGGATTGTCCTAGGAGACAGGACTCTGTTGATCTAATTAAAACAAATTATGTACAACAGATATTCTCACAAACAAAAGCTTCATTTGGTTCCTGACTATTAATAGGCACACGATTTGGAAGGAATATTATATTTGGAGTCAGAATAATTTGGGCTTGAATCCAGGACTAACTAGATGCATATGTAAATTAGGGCAAGTAACTTAATTTTAAGGCAAATTTCCCAATGTGTAAAAATGGAAAAAATAATATTTCCACTCCCTATCTCAGGTTAATATTTTTATTTAACAAAATTTAAATAAAACAGTATATGTGAGAACAGGTCATGTACATACAAATGTAAATTATCATTATAAAGACAGGGATGTAGTGAAAAGAGTGCTGGATTTGGACTCAATAGATACCAAGGTTCAACTTCTACTTCTGACACTTAACTGGGTCTGTGGGCATGAAATCACTTATCTCTCAAAGCCCCAGTTTTCTGTATAATGGGGTTAAGACTAGCACTCTCCTCACAGAGTTGTGAGAATCAAATTAAATATAAAGTGCTACGAATAAGTTGTATCCCATCACATGGAACGTAAACTCCTTGGGGGCAGTGATTGTGTAATTTTGCATCATTATATCCATAACATCCAGTGCCATGCCTTGTATATATAGCGAGTACTTAATAATGTTTATTGAATTGATTTGTTGTCAGGAAGAGGAGAGCTGAACTGAGTTATAAGTAAGCTCTTTACATTTTTTTTTATCTGACATCAATAGTCATCTTTCTTCAAGTCTCACCCCAAACATCCCAATTACCTAGACCAAATCCAATGGAACTCTAAAACCACTGGGAGAGAGAGGGAAAGAGGGAGGGAAAGGGAGGGAAAGACAACAGGGAGAAGCAAAAGGAGAGAGAGGTAGTGAGAGAGGGAGAGAGGAAAGGGAGAGGGTAGGATGGAGAGGAAGGGTGGGGGTGAGGGAAGAGGAGGGCAAGGGGAGGAGAAGGAGCAGAAAGAGAGAAAGGGAGGGGGGGAGAGGGAGGAAGTGAGAAGGAGAGGGGGGAGTCAGAGAGAGACAGAAGAAAAGGGGAGTGGGAGTGGGTGTGGGGAGATATTGATTTCAGAACCAAGAAGCAGCCTCTCGATTCCAAAGTGTAACCTCAGTCCTAGCGATCTGGAAGGCACGGAACTGTGAGTTGTCAGGGATGTAGTGCCTAGCCTATTCCTTTGGTATTCTCCAGCATGATAGTACAAATAACTTATGTTAACATGTTAATATGTACTTTAAGTTTTGCAAACAACGATCCTATGAGGTAGGATCCATGGAATTTCCCAATAGGGAGAATTTATTATTATTTTTAAAAAAATCTGAACTCACTGAATTCTGCTCTCCCAAAATTTAGGCTGTTTATCAGATAAGACCTGGATTTCAATTTCTCATCAGGAACCCTATTCTGCAGATGAATAAGCTGAAGCTCTGAGAGGTTAAGCTGTGTGTCCAGTGTGTGACAGGATCTGAACCTAGCCTCCTAAAGCCAAGTCCAGCCCTCTGCCTATTTTGGTCCCAGACATCGCTACATCCTTCTACAAGCCCTTTCTTACACACAGTTATTGACTTCTCAGGAAATCCATTTTGCTAGACACTACCTGAAGGTGCAGAGAGAGACATCGAGATGTGGGCAGTTTACTTCCTGACTACAGTAAGGCAAAAGGTGGGCTTTGCTTCCTTTCACAACCAGGAAGGTGGGTTGCTTGCATGTATAGGGATGTGAAATGAACAATCAAGCTAAAGCAAGGGCACTTATGGAGAGTATACCATAGGAAAGGCAGTTTGGTACAGTGGAAAAGGCACAGAATTTCAGAATCCTTTTGATCAGAAAGAGAATAAACTTGTGTTTGGACAGTTTAATTTTTGCAAAAGGGTACAGGGTAACTATTACTATTACTCCCAATTACTAGGCAGTTTTTTTTTTGACAGGCAGGCAGGGAAGGCACTTATTAATCACCTACTATGTGCGCAGACACGATGCTAATCATTTTATAAATATCTTATTTGATTCTCACAACTCGGTGAGACAGGTGCTATAAATATCCCCATTTTACAGTTGAGGACATTGAGGTAAACAGAGAGAAGTTCACATGGCTAGAAAGTGCCTGGGGTTAGATTTGAATTCAGGTCTCCCTGACTCCAGGCCCAGCTCTCTAGACATTGCACCACCTACACAGGAGAACTGGGAAGAAAAGCGAAGCCAGTTATAGCAATGCCAAAAAAAGAAAAAGAAAATGCACAGAAGAGAGCAGAAGGAGGCTCAGAGGGAACACACACAAGAAGGACAGCTTTTGAAACGAATGTGCTAAATTTAGTATATAACTAGAAACACACAGAGCTGCATGGAATGAGATTTCTGGTTTGTTTTGTATACAATACTTTTTTTCTGTTCTTCGTATATCAAAATGTTCATGTTTGTTGGTGTTTGTCAAGTTCAGAATAATAAGAAATTGAAAAACTTGTAAAAAGATACCCTTCTGACAACCATTATCTGCATTCACAAACTACCATTCTTTCTGCTGCCTTTTGTTTCACACGTTAGCAACCAGTCACCGAAGAATCAAGGTTTGAAGGATTAACGAGATTCACCCAGGAAGAGGTTACGACTACCGTAGAGCTTCATACGTTGGTGGTGATAATAAGAACTCAAATTTATACTCGCTATTCCAAAAGTCTTAGTGCACTTTTAAGCTAGCAAAGCTTCATTTTGTTTTTAAGATCCATTACCTCATTTGATATCCATAGCCGATAGATACACTTAAGCTACTCCTTAGAGATTCCACATCTTGTTGCTATTGTGCTACCCCCAAAATAGCTGTGGACAGCTAGGTGGGCAGCGGATAGAGTGCCAGGCCTGGAGTCAGGAAGACTCATGTTCATGAGTTCAAATCCAGCCTCAGATACTTACTAGCTGTGTGTCTCTGGGCAAGTCCCATAACCTTGTTTGCCTCAGTTTCCTCACCTGTAAAATGAGCTGGAAAAGGCACTAGCAAACCACTCTAGTATTTTTGCCAAGAAGACCCCAAATAGGATCACGAAGAGTTGGACAGAACTAAAACAACTGAACAAAAAACAGCTGTAACACTGGTTTCCTGGCATTTTCAATATAGACAACTCTGTGTCTATTTGTTTCCATCATTTGTATCTGACCTTTTTTCTCTCGTCAAATTGTAAGCTCCCTGAAGACAGGGACCATATCTTTTCCTTTCTTCTCACTTAAAAAAAAATATCCCTGCAGCACCCAGTACAAAACTCTGCGCACATAATAACTGGCTGACATTGTGCTTTACTATCACTAAACAATTTGCTGATGTTTCTTTAGATCATCACAATAATTCTGTAGAGTGAATTTGGCAAATATAATTAATCCCATTTTATGGATGAGAAAACTAAAGCTCAGAAAAGCAAAATCACTTGCTCAAGATCAACTTGATAGGCAGTGTCATACCTGGGAATTCACCCTACATCTTCTGATTCTAGATCCAGTGGGTTTTTTCCCTCTCATTACCCCACAACTGCCTCCCAGCTGTGTCGTAAGAAAATGCTATTGATCAAAAGATGGATTTGGACATTATGACTATCTTAAGTAGAGGTTCTTTTTCCTTTTCCCTCCTTAGGTAGATCTTAGGAGTCTGCTGGTTTCTAAGAAAAAATCCGCATTCCACTCATCTCATCAGGGGAATTTACATATAACAAGTATACCTACCTAGATAGCATAAAGGTTAGAGAGCCAGTGTTAGTTGGGAAGACTTAAATTAAAGTGCCACCTCTGGCATATACTAGTTGTGAGACCTTGGGCAAGTCACTTAACCTCTGAGGTCTGGAGACTCTCTAAGATTAGAAGTGAGAGATGAGCTGGTGATCTGTATCAGTGGAGGGAGGTTCCATACCAGGAGTTCTTTTCAAGGATGTAATAACATATAAATCCCCCTCTCCTAATGGTATATAGAAGGTTAAAAAATGATAATTCCATACCTTCTTTATTTCCTTGTTTATCATGTTTCTTCAGCCATTCAATGTTCTTTCTGATAGCTTCCAAATAAGCCTCTGTTTTCCCTATAAAAATCAAGCAAACTGAAATTTAAAAAATTCATCAGAAGTTAACATGTTTTGTTCATTGAAATGCTTCTTTGGTTAAAATGAATAGGTACGGGACTAAGTGGTGCAGTGGATAGAGCACTGGCCCTGGAGTCAGGAAGACCCTAGTACAAGTCTGGCCTGAGATACTCACTAGCTACGGTGACCCTGGGCAAGTCATTTAACCTCAAAAGTAAATGAATCTATCAAAAATATTTATTGAGCATTTATGTGAGATATAAAACTATGGAAGGCAGGATGGAGCAGCAGGAAAAGCACTGGCCCTAGAGTCAGAGATTTGTTTTTATTCAATCTTTCCTGGCAAAGATACTGGAGTGATTTACCACTTCCTTCTCCAGTACATGAAGCAAACAGAGGTTAAGTGACTTGCCTTAATCTGTAAAATGAAGAAATTGGACTTGATGGTCTTGAAGTACCTTCCTATTCTTAATCTAATCTAATCTTTTTTTTTTTTTGGCTAGGCAATAGGGTAAGTCACACAGCTAGTAAAGAGTTATGTGTCTGATGCCAGATTTGAACTCAGGTCCTCCTGATTCCAGGGCTGGTGCTTTATCCACTGCGCCACCTAACTGCCTCTTAATCTAATCATATAGCTATATAACACAACAGAAAGAATGAATGCAGCTATAGGCATATTCATAGGTGGGCAAGGGTTTCCTTGACTGGTTGATATAACGATTAAGGCCAATTCTGGGCAGGGCACATTTTGTCTTAGCAGATGAGCATTTTCTAGGCAGAAGCTACATTTTACTAGAACTAAACCAGAAGTAGGGCTCTAATGCCAAGCTGTTTAGAGGCAATAGGAAGCTACTGAAGATTTTTGAGCATGAGAGTGACATTGGCAGACCTGAACCTTTTGAATACTGATTTGGTAGCTGTGTGGTAGGATGGATTAGAGAGGAGAGAAATTGATAGGAGGAAGAACAAATGGGACATTGCGATAGTCCAGGTGAGAAATGGAAAAGTCTAAACCAGGGGTGGGGAACCTGCGGCCTTGAGGCCACATGTGGTCTTCTAGGTCCTTGGGGGAGGCCTTTTGATGGAATCCAAATTTTGTAGAACAAATCCTTTTATTAAGGGGATTTGTTCTGTGAAGTTTGGATTCAGTTAAAGGGCCACCCTTGAGGATCTAGAGGGCCACCTGTGGCCCTGAGGGTGTAGTATCCCCATCCCTGGTTTAAACTATGGTAGTAGCAGAATGAGTACGGAGAAGGGATGGATGCAATAGATAAAATTCTATCTTATACGGGAAACCTTTTTTATTTTTTTGGTTTTTTTTCGTTGTTGTTCAGTCATGTTTGACTCTTTGTGACCCCATTTTGGGGTTTTCTTGGCAAAGATACTAGAATGATTTGCCATTTCTTTCTCTAGCTCATTTTACAGACAAGGAAACTGAGACAAACATGGTCAAGGGACTTGCCCAGGGTCATATAGCTAGTAAGTGTCAGACCAGATTCGAACTCATGAAGAGAAGTCTTCCTAATTCCAAACCCAGTGCCTATCCACTATGTCACCTCAACCTCTCTTAATTCTAGTGCATTTTCTCTGTTAATCATTTCCTATTTGTCCCGCTTCTAGTTTGTTTTATATATATTTGTTTGCCTGTTGTCTCCCCATTAGATTGTAAGCTCCCTGAGGGCAGGAGCTATTTTTTTGGCCTCTTTTTGTTTCCCAAGTGTTTAGCACAGAGCCAAGCAAATAGTAGGCATGTAATAAATGTCGATTGATTGATTGATGTTGAGTTGAAGATGTCTATAGGACATTCAAGAGATTTCTAGTAGGCAACTGATGATGCGGGACTGGCATTCCAGAGAAGGACTAGAGATGGATTTAGAGATTTGGGAGTCATCTGGTGGCGATGATACTGTGATTGAAACCATGGGAGCTGATGATATTGCAAGTAATAATAACACCATGGCCAAGCACATATAGTGCTAGAAAGTTTGTAAATCACTTTACAGAAATAATCTCATTTGAGCCTCACAAAAAACTTGTGAAATAGGTACCACAGGTATTATTATTCACATTTTACAGATGAAAAAATTGAGACTTAGAGAGATTAAGTGACCTGCCCATGGTCATAAAGGCACTCAGCATAGTCTCAGACAAGATGTAGGTGCAAGTCTTCCCAAGAGAGTTGCAGAGAATACAGGCTCTTGGGTTACAATGCACCTCTGCTTAGTGGGCAGGAGATAATGAGGATTCAGCAAAGCGTACTGCTAAGGGATTAGACATGCAGGTAGAAGGGAATGAGAAAGTTGATTCACTGAAGACCCCTCCTCTATTCCAATCAGTATCAATCAATTTGATATGATTCTGTAGGGGTAGTGATTACAAGTTCTGTATATTTGACCCCAGAGCTGTGAGCAACAGATTGTAAGATCACTTGCTTAATCATAGGAAGTTAATTAGAGGCCCTCCACCTTTGTTTTTCCATGTCATGGTGACCAAGCCCAGTGTGGTAGGGGGTGACTCAACTACATGGGAAGTCCTTCATTTTATTTTTGTGCCTCTGGACCATTCTCTCCTGTCAACATGAGCAGATGACCCTCTTATGACCACTTAGTCAGTGGAGATGCTGCATGCTTCACTCAATCTGTGACCCCTCCTGTTAATGTCATTTTTGGCCCTCAAGAGCAAGGTCTATCAACCAATGAGATTTTTTATTTTGCTATGTCTCTTTTGCATATTTGGGCAAGAATAAGTAATGTATTAATCCATACTTTGCGTAAGTCACATAGGAATATAGCTTCTAATAGAAGGGCCCTATTGTTTACCAGCTGTGGAGCTCACTTGTGAAATCATAAGAATGCTGACAAAGATGTCTCCATTCTGTTTTGCTCAAATTCCATGACCACGCCAAGCACAGATGGTGGCATGGTATGGAAAGTTCCCCCCCGCCCCATATGTTCTTGAAGTGTATGTATAGCTTCTGTCTAACCTAGGAGAAGCCCATCCTTTTCTTGTGACCAGCTAGTCAGCATGGATATTTCCTGCTTTGCCCAACCTGTGACCCTGCTGATATACTGTTTTGCTTATTTTAGTCTATGCATCCTATGTCAACCAATGGAATTATTCTGTATTTGGTATAGCTGTTCATGAATGTTTAGATATCCAATCCTATAAAAACAGGGCCCTGGAAGGTGGGGGCACCTCAGATTGTGAAGATGGTCTGAGGTCCACTTCATTAGAGGGGTCATGGACCCTTTAGTAAAGTGCCGTTGGCTTAGAGTTCTGCCTCAGTCTCTCTTATTGTAGCTTGTAAACAAGCAGGAGGAAGCAGCAGGAAGAAATTCCATGGGAGCTCAGGGAAGGAGCAGCATCCTGGAAATCATTACGTAATGATTAACAGTGTCAAAACCAGCAGAGTCAAGTAGGATGAGGACAAAGAAAAAAACATTTAGCAGCTAAAAGATCACTGGCAACCTTGGAGGGGCAGTTTCAGTAATGAGGTGGGCTTGGAAGCCAGATTGCAAGGGGCTGAAAAATGAGGGGATCTGAAGAAGTTGAGGTAATGAGCATACATGCCTCTTTCCAAGAGTTTGGTTTTAAAAGAGAGATGAGATAGAAAATGATAGGGTATATTTCAATTAGTCTTACTGAGTTCAGTGTCTGAAATATTTTTTAAGTGACTTGTCCAGGATCACATAGCTAGTAAGTGTCTGAGGCCAGATTTGAATTCAGGTCCTCTTGACTCCAGGGTCACTGCTCTAACCACTGTATCACCTAACTGCCTCTTCAGTGTCTGAAATCTTTCGTTGGCATTTGCCCCCAGCACAACTCTCTCTCTCTCTCTATCTCTCTCTCTTGTCTCTCTCTCTCTCTCTCTCTCTCTCTGTCTCTCTCTTTCTCTCTCTCTGTCTCTCTCTCACTTTCCCCTTTCTCCCCCTCTTTCTTTTTCTTTCTCTCCTTCTTCTCCTCCTCCTCCTCCTCTTTCTTCTCCTTTTTCTACTTCTCCCTCCTCCTCCTCCTTCTCTCTGTCTCTCTCAGTGCATTGACACTTCATCACCTCTCAAAGGATGGAGTAATGCAAGGATAAGTTTCATTTATTTGATAATTTGTTACAAGAAATACACACATATACAGACATCAAGACAAAGACAGAGAGAAAAAAAGAGACAGAGATACAGACAGTCAGAGAGACAGAGACAGATTTAGACAAAGAGACACAGACATAAAGAGACAGAAGTAGAAAGACAGAGAGAGGAATTTCAAAGTTCAAGATCATGGAGGCAGCATAATTATATTATGACAAAATGTCGCCATCTCTGTGGCAGGATGGGGTAGAATAAGTTACAGGAATTAAGGAGGAGGCTGAGTGGGGAGCCCACTGTACTTGATGGAACATCAATGAGTATACTGAAGACTCCCAGTATAAGGGCAGGTGTAGATGTAGAGAAGACTGGGATCTAGGTACCAAACTTCTTGAGAACAATAAGGGAATGACTTGGAGACTGGTAGGTGACAAGAGCAAAGCTTTGGACTGAGGGATATAAATGGATAGAATGACTCTCAAAGGAGAGATTGCTGGTGATCATGGCAAAGGGATAGTCAAAGGGAGGAGCAAGTATGTCAGGTTCTCTTGGCCCAGTGTGTCAGAGAGGAGGGGAGGGGGAAGGAAGCATGGTAGGAAGAATACTCAGTATTAGAAAAGGGGTGGTGAGAATTTCACACCTTCTAGAGATTCTGGAGAAAACCAGGTTCCATAAGTTCAAGAAGATGGAAAGAATATCAGATGAACTCACTAAAAATGGAGAGTTTCTTAATAGAATAGGAATTCCAGAGGGCACAGTGCAACAGAACATCTGAGGAAGACATTAGTGGAGGGCTGATGGGTTATGCTGCCACCTTGAATCTTGCTAAATCTTATTTTCTATAGCCTTTTTACCTTCACTGACTTTAAATTGTCTGAATACTCTCCTATATCTTTTGATAATCCCAACCCATCTTGGCTTCCT